TGTAATCTGCAACAAAATGAAAGGTTTGGGACCAGCGCTGCAATTTTTTCGAGTCAAAATTACTGTTGAAACGTTGACTGACGGTTTTATGGACGGAATTAAAGGCTTGGGACCGACGCTGCAACTATATATAATTGTTTGGGACTTCAGCCGCAAAAATAAAAGATTTGGGTGTAATTTGCAACAAAATGAAAGGTTTGGGACCACGGCCACAATTTTCCCATTTGAAAAAGTAACATGTCAAATCAACGTTTGAAATATCTTGATTTTTCCTTTTATTATTTAACCCCTGTTTTGTATAGATTAAGAATCTAATTAAAATTTCAAGTCAAAATTAATAATTAATTTTAATAACATATTTCATGAGATTCATAATTTTTTTACCATATATTTAGCTCCAAATTAAAATCAGATTTTTAGTAAATTTTCATAAAAGTTGATAAGATTTGTAGTTGAAAAATTGTGGATTCCATAAATTGCATGATTAAAATTAATTGCTTATTTTAACTTGACATTAAAATAAATTTTAATTTGTACCCAACATGGCTTAATCAATTTTTATTAAAATTTTACTATTTTCATATGCTCCAAATAGGGGTTTTAATTAAGGGCAAATTAGACCCAATACCCTAAAAAAATAACTAATTTGATTAATACTCTATTAATCAATTAAACAATTTAAGAACGTAATTAATACGTTATAAATCCCCCAACCCATGAACATACGTACACTCAAAAACCACAAAACAAAATGTGATTCAATTTCTGAAGACACCCTCCTCAATCTATAAGAATGGTCTAAATTTTTAAAAGAAACTTTTGAATTTATTCATCGTTCCCGATTAAATATCATTGTAGAAATTTTCAACAAGAAGCACTTCAGTCAATTAATTGATGCTATAACATCGTCATGTGCACCAAGTGATGCTGCTCTAACAAGCAGTAAATTTGTGACCTCAGATGGAGGAACTGAACATTAAAGTGGAGTAAAGCTTGAAATATTATCGAATATTTGCAATCTTCCATGCTTTTGTGTTTTACACCATCCTTATAGAATAAAGTAATTTTCAAGGCAAACTTCATTCGACTTTTTTTAGTACTGAAATACTACATCATAATTCGTTTTCAATTTTAGCTTCATGTTGTTCACCAGATGTAATTTTAGCTTCATGTTGGAAACACGTTTGAAAAAATAGTTTTGAATCCGTTAAATTTTTTATACATGTAAGGTGTTTGACAAAAAGATAATATGAATTTTGTCACTGACGTTTTGTCACTTTTCTATGAAAAAGTGATATTCTGTCACTTTTCTCCAAAAAAGTCACACGTCCTCCCTAATTTTGTGATCATTTAACCCCTCATTCTCTCAATTTTTGAATTATGTCATTTTTTTTTTTGAGTTTATGTCACTTTTTAATTATGTCATTTTTTTTAGTTTATGTCACTTTTTTCAAAAAAGTGACAATATTTATAAAAAAAAGTGACATGATGTCACTTGTTTCATTTTACGCAGTATTTTTTACTTCCTAAAAATCTTTTACATGATTTTTCAAAACACCCCTGATTTTAAGGGTATTTCTGTAAGTACCCCTTTAATTAATATATGCCTAGGCCCAAATTTGAAAAGATAGCCCAATATGAAGCATCCATATGAACCCTAGTTCCTCTGATATAAATTAGGCATCACAATTTACAAGTCTACAGGAGCTTCACAAATGAGCCGTGATTTGACCGATTTCTCTGAAATCTTTTTCTACAATTTTCGGTGTTTCTGTTTTCACTCTTTTTGCATTTCACCCTATAATTAATCTACGAAGTCTCCAATTTTTTTCTCAATTAGTTGGCATCTATTATGATTTCCTCTGTTTCAATGAAATTTAACAGAGGAAATTCGAAAAGATGCGAAATCAAAGATGTTCACTGGTACTTATGGACACGCAGATTTTCTTACAGTAGTGAATTCATGCGTTTTCTCGTAGGTTTCACATTCTTCCTTTTTTTCAATTTATTTAAAATTTTCTATAATTAAGATATTTTGGTTGTTGGAATTATGCTCGATGATGATTGATTTGCTTTAACCACACCGAAGAGAGCTGGCGGATTAGAAGTCCTTTTGAATTTAGGTTAAAGGAATTTTTTTTCTCACTTATAATTTGCTTGGAAGTGGCTTTATGAATCTTTTCTCTATGGGTTTGAGAGTGCAATTCACTCTCCCTATAGAGTTAAGATGAAGGCTCTTTGAAGCTCTTCATAAGCGTTGATTCCATTGGCTTAAATCCTTGAGGATTTCCTCTCCATCGGTATTCTCATGTGGAAAACTTTGGCCCTTTTTCTGAGAGCTAAATTCCTCAAATTCATTCTCTCTCTCTCTCATTTTTCTATTGGTCCAGTTTTAGAAATTTAGCAGTCAAGGAGTTTAAACCAAGCGCTAAGTTTTCATGGGTATAATTTTGATAGAAGAACCAGAATAATTAAAGAGAACTGGATCAGAGAATATTGAAGTCATTCTTCACTTCTCTAATTTGCTTTCTCCCTTCAGAGTTGAAGTCTACAAAAATTAGTTCAATTCTCCCAAGTACTCCTAGCAGCATTGCAGCATGAAGAACCTATTTTTAAAGATTATATTTTAAAAATTCTCCAGTTCACATATTTTTAATATGAATCTCATTCAAAGGAACTACAGTCTACACTTACGGAATTGTAGTCACTACTTATTAAATTATACGAACCTATCAATATGAATCCAAATGCCTTCCTACTTGACATATAGAATGGTGGAGTTGTGATCGAAAAACATGTAGAGGAAATTATGAATTCATGGAGCCATAATTTATTCTTTCATACAAATAACTCTGCAATTTTTCCAAAATAAAATAAAGACCTGGATGACCATTCTCTTCTTCATCNCCCCCCCCCCCCCCCCCCCCCCCCCCCCCCCCCTCCCTTCTAAAAGCAAATGCATCCAAAGAAACAGTTTTTGTAGAAGTTTGAGTGGAAAGGCAGTTAAAAACATGTATATTTATGGGGCCAAATACTACTATATCATTCTTAGTGCGTGACATAGTATTGGATGGAACAACTCACAAATGTTTTACATGTACATGATTATTCATATACGATGTTGTTCAACACAATGTACCGGTATAAACTTAGAATATATTGAACTGAAAGTTGGCTTACAAACTTCTACATTCAAAATCTCATTTGATCGTTGATCATATTATCATTGTATATGGAACTGTCTATAAAAGATTGGGGACAAAGTTTCCTTAGCATCCTCTGCCGGTAAATGCTAGTATGTTCGTGTAATCTTTTTTACTTACAGGCTTCTTAAATTTATTGAGTACTCAAAACTGTTAAGGGGATGCTAATGGAGCAGCTGAAGGAGCGTGAGAGAAAAGCTCAGCGAAGAGTTTTTCCGCTAGCACTTCATTTGCAGCATCTGATCTATTTAGATTGGCAAGTAGCTTCTGTACTTTGGAGTTAAATTGCTGCACCACAGATTGACTTGCTTTAGGCATTGTGCTCGGCTTGATTTTGCCCTCTTGGACGGGATGTAGCCTAGTGGGCTGAGCCCGTGGAAGATCATCTCATTCAAGAAATTGCTGTTAGTTAGTAATCAAAATAATGTCCCAAGTTTTTATATGATTTGCATTTTTAGTGATTTCCAGAACAATTGAATTGTTTCTGGTTCATTGGAAGATTTTCTTACTGTGAGCTGTTCACCTAAGGTTGAGATTAGGAGTCCCACAAACTCATCATGTGTGTATTGTTGACCATCTGCTAGAAAGGGCTGAAGAAAGTTGCTGACGTAGTCGTTGCTACCTGAAAGATTTTGTTGAAGAGGAAATGTTAGAATTGGAACATTTCTTAACTAGAAGAGAGAGGATAGACTAGAGCTCTGCACTTTTAATTACTTGAGAAGTTTATAAAAAAAGGTCTGTGTTCTTTGGGTTGGTAACCATACCTAATCCAACCTGTTCACCTATTTTAGCCTTGCGATTCCTCGGTCTTCTCGAAATTATCTGATCATCAAATGATAGCCTTTGTATCTGCGATGCAAAGTGCTTACAATAATGAAACATGAAGCCAAGTGATACAGGATGACATTAATAATTATCCACGATGGTCAATGAAGTGAAAACTACTTGATATACACTCCACGTATAGCACCATATGATAGATTGTCTATCCCTACAGGCTGTCTACCATCATGAGGCCCTCTACGTTCACATGACCGTCTACCACTATGAGGCCGCCTACCACCATGAGGCCCTCTACGTTCACATAGGTCGTCTACCACTATGAGGCCGTCGACCACCATGAGGGTGCCTACCACCATGAGACTGTCGACCTCCAGAAGACCCTCTACGTTCACATAGGCCGTCGACCTCCTATGAGGCCATCTACGTTCACATAGGTCGTCGACCACCATGAGGCCGTCCACCACCATGAGGCCGTCCACCACCATGAAGCCCTCATAATCTATGTTGCTCGGACTCGGGTACGGGTATCGGGTACGTATCTAAGTGTCGGATCTTTTATATTCTAAAATGTAGGATACGGGAATATTGCTAAAAAGAGTCCAAATTTTAGACACGGGTACGTGAGTACGTCTTTCAAATTTCAATTTTTTTACTAATTCAGGATATCATTTTGAATAGACCAAATAGAGCTCTGCACTTTTAATTACTTCAGAAGTTTATAAAAAAAGGTCTGTGTTCTTTGGGTTGGTAACCATACCTAATCCAACCTGTTCACCTATTTTAGCCTTGCGATTCCTCGATCTTCTCGAAATTATCTGATCATCAAATGATAGCCTCTGTATCTGCGATGCAAAGTGCTGACAATAATGAAACATGAAGCCAAGTGATACAGGATGACATTAATAATTATCCACGATGGCCAATGAAATGAGAAATACTTGATATACACTCCACGTATAGCACCACATGATAGACCGTCTATCCCTACAGGCTGTCTACCATTATGAGGCCCTCTACGTTCACATGACCGTCTACCACTATGAGACCGCCTACCACCATGAGGCCCTCTACGTTCACATAGGTCGTCTATCACTATGAGGTCGTCGACCACCATAAGGGTGCCTACCACCATGAGACTGTCGACCACCATAAGACCCTCTACGTTCACATAGACCGTCGACCCCCTATGAGGCCATCTACGTTCACATAGGCCGTCTACTACCATGAGGTCGTCCACCACCATGAGGCCCTCATAATCTATGTTGCTCGGACTCGGGTAAGGGTATCGGGTACGGGTATGTATCTAAGTGTCGGATATTTTATATTCTAAAATGTAGGATACGGGGATATGACTAAAAAGAGTTCAAATTTTAGACACGGTTACGTGGGTACGTCTTTCAAATTTCAATTTTTTTACTAATCCAGGATGTCATTTTGAATAGACCAAAACTAATTATTCACAATGAAGGAAATTGATATTTAATAAAGAGTTAAGACGAATAAAATAAATTTTTTGAGTTTAGTTTTCAATTATGAGAATAACTAAATGTTATATAATATAAAAAATGAAAAACTTGATTGTAACTTGAACTTAGTGAAGCACTAAGTAGCACGAGCCCATTTTCATTTTATACAAACAAATCCTAAACCACCGATACGGAGAGAGAAGGAAAAAAAAGAAGAAAATGGAAAGCAAAAAGAAAGAGGAAGAAAAAGAAGGTAAAACCTAGCGTCCCCGCCTTTCTCTACCCTTTCGGCGACGACGCTAGCTTTATAGAGAGCAAAAGTGGGAAAGAAGAAAAGGGAAAGAGAAGGAAAAGAAAAGGAAAAGGAAAAGGAAAAAAAAGAAGAAAAAAGAAAAAAAAAATGACGAAGTCTCCAATTGAAATTTGGAGGATCCGACACATATTCCATACCCATACCCATGTCGTGTCGTGTCCGACACGGGTACTCCAACTATTTCGAAGAGTCCGAGCAACATAGCTCATAATTAGACTTTGCAAGGAAAAGGTGTAGGTAGTTGTTGTTCCGAACTTCTGTTGACTTGTCACCGAAAATGAAGGTGACTAAGGATGCTGCAATCGAAGGGGCGGCCGCCAAAGCTGCTGAAATGATCAAGGCAGTACAAATTTCTGTCATTTTAGCCATTTTTAAATCCTTCCTTGTTGAAAATGTACATGTCGATGGCAAAAATTTAAAGGGGGTAATTCAGTTACTGTTCAATGATTTTTCTGAGTCATTCCTACTTTCCAAATTTTCATATATTAGGTGTTTGTTCTCCATTGTGGAGAATGTTTGCATTTTTTGAACCTCATGATTATGAGGGCTCAAAAGGAACCTTTTCTCAAATCTGTCAATTGGTTTGTTGATAGTTTGTCTTTAAACGGTCGACCCTCTCTTATAGACTTATAGTTGGCCAACTCACTTCAAGAATTGGCAAACATACAGTTTTTCTTATGGAATTATGAATTCTAGAGTTCTAGTATGAAGTTTCGAGTTGGGCACAAGCACAATTAGTCATTCATGTTTGATATGTTGAACTAAATAGTACTAAAAATTTAATAAAAATGTTCAAATCTTATTTGTAATGCTATGCAGTGGACCCATTTTTATGTAACACTAGTGGGTGTGAATGTGCGTTGCATGTTATTTGGATAATGTTAAAAATAAGTGTAATCTATTCTTTGTAGAGAAGGCAGAACTTCCAAATAAGGAACGAGCCTAAAAAATTCATGTAACACCACATTTAAGCATTCATATTTACTGCTCACAAAGAATATGAAATGCTTGTTTCACAATTTCTATTCAAGCAATTACTTGTCAGAAGATGTAATATAATAAAAGCTAAAAAGTTAGATACTTTGTAGATACAAAAACTAATAATTATTATGAAGCAATAAAGACAAGCACAACAAGCCCACCTTGCTAGACTAAGCAACTCTTACGCAGTATGAGTGGAATGAAATACCATATGTAGTTCTTAGAAGAAGGAAAAATATATTAGAAACAGACTATAAATCAACGTCAGATTTCCCAAAGGTTTAGGTGGTGTTCTCTTTGGCCGTTTTGGGTCCTTTTTTGTTTTCGATTTTCCAAAACAATGAAAACGCGTTCTCTTTCTTATTTTTGAAAACACGTTTTTGAAAAAAATAAAAAATTTTGTACACAAAATACAAAACAATAAAAACAATGTTTTGACTGTTTTCAAGCAAAAACAGGGGAAAAAAACGAAAACATGGGAAATAACCATTTTTAACAGCTCCACAACTCCACTGCCCCATTTTTTATTTCTTCCCTCTTCTTTCAATCCATTCCCTTTCTTCCTTCCCTCTGGATCAAGGAAATGAGCCGGTACCGGAGCTGGCGTGGAGAGGCGACCCATTCTTCGCAGGTGTGAACACAGCGTTGCGATCCATTCTTCGCGACACTGCTGTGGTTTGGCCCGTCTCTGCGTACTCTCTTGGCAAGGTGAAGTTCTCGGCAACCCATTGACGTCGTTCTCGACAAGGTGAAGTTCTCTCTCTTTTCGATCTGCAAGTTTGGGGGTTTTTGGTTTTTTCGATTTTGGTTGTTTTGATTGGTTTCGACCCATTGATTTCGGTTGTGTTGATTGAAAATTCCAGTGGTGGTTGTGTTGGCAGTTGTGACTGGTGGTGGCGATGGTAGGCAGTGGTGGTGGTGACTGGCGGTGGTAAATTTGGGATTGGGTGTTTTTGTTGTTCCATTTGTTAGTTGCTTTACGTTACAAAGTCACAGACATTAATTAATATGCTAAATTATGGTTAATCTACCTTCTGTTGAAACTTGAAAGCGATCAAGGTTCATACTGTTTCTGCCTTAATTAACTGATTTTCTATGCTAACCATGTGAGCTTTGATAATCTATTATGAAAATTTTTGCATAAATTGTTAGAAGTTCTGAGTGAGATTATTAATGTGTTATGAATTGCAAGACATTCTTCCTCAAATTTTTCATCAGTTGGGTACGCAACAATTCCTGTTTCTTGTGGTATTTTCCCGTTTGATTGCTGCTATTAGAACTTGATTAAATGAATGGTTTAACCTAAAAAATTCAGGCCTTGATAACTTGGAGATCTGAAGAAATTGGCAGAACAGCTCCAGAAGCAAGCGCCTGGTGCTACTTTGGAACAGAAAGACGGTGAGGATGAGGTGCTTGACCTTGTTGATGGTGAGACCTTTGAAGCTGCTACAGAGGAGGGGCACACATCGTAGTAGTTTATTGATTTTTTGCCATCCTCATATTTTAACTGTTTTTGTTGTATGTTTGGTCTCGAATTAAGTGGTTTAATCCATGTTTAGCATGGCATAACCAGTGTTGTTTACAGCCCTTTGCTCTTTACATTATACTATTGAATATGCCAGCAAGAATTCTATTGGTGTATGAACTTGAGTGATTTTTATTTGTGATTAAACCTGCAGCAGAAACCACCCGGGGGGAGGGGGGACCGGTATACTTGTGATTTTATCACTCATCTTGTATCTCCCACTAATAATCTCAAAATCCTCGAACTTATATTTCCATAATTTCCCCTGCATTTATTGATTTCCATTAGACAACTTCATCTTGATCTTCGGATGTTTACCTATATTTAAACAATTTACAGAAATTTTATCAACTCTTCTTGATCATTGCACTCTCCAGTAGTGAATTTGTTATTAGCAATATTGAGTCATTGACTAGCTCTTTTCTGTAGGTTGCAAAAGAATATTGTGAGCAGTTGGGGGTTGACTCTTGCTTCAAGATATTTGAGTAGTTTAAGTCATATGAAGGATTATATCTCTTCTTGGGATCATATTTGAGCTCCAGATAATTTCTGAAGAAAGCACGAGACTTCGCACTGCAGGGTCTGAGTGCTGAGCCATTATACATATTATACTGGTTAGCTTGTGTACTAATATTTGCTTTACTGCAGCGAGGATCCTGACATTCACTTCAAGTACATTGAGGCAGCTTCCAAGACCGGACAAATTATGTCATCGACAATTATGTTCTTTCTACTGAGCACTTGAAGCTGTTTGTTTCAGTTTGATAAATCTTTCTTCACGAGCTTCTTAAGTCTTTAATTCGTGTTTCAATTTTATGTTCTTTGCAAAGGATTAGCTGCAGTATAAACATTCAGAAATGTCATTTGGAATTACAGATGTACCTAGTGTAGTTGTTAAAACAGATTTTTGATATAACAAATATTATATCTTCATGTATATGATATCATTTTAATTATTTTTTTAGGTAATCAAATTGTATTTATTATCACTTATGATAGTCATCGTGTTTAGACTATCAAAATTGTATTTGGCAAGAATTATGAGAACTAACATGAACTCGATAAAATTGTCACAAGTTACGTACAAGGACAAAAATAAGGATTTGCCAAATTTAATTTAGGTTATATTTTTTATATTTAGAAAAAAATTATTTCAAGATTCATCAACTTCAAAATTTATATGTTATTTAATACTATATTAACAATAAACTATTTAAACTTATTGAATAATCAGATTTCTTGAATAAAATATTATTAAAAAAATCTCAAAGCAAACGCGTTTTCCATTTTTATGTTTTCAAAAACAGTTTTTCAGAATGGTAAAAAGAACGCATTTTCAGAAATTTCAAAACAGACACTCAAAACTCAAAATACAAAATGAATTCAAAACTCAAAACACAAAGCTGAAATACAAAGAGAACGACCCCTTAGTTTTTCTAAATTCACTGCATAAATAATTCAATTAGAGTAGTAAACCCAAAAAATGAGACAAAAGCTTTCAGCATACTCTTACTAACAAAATTCAATTCAATTTCACAATCTATAAGTCATTCGGCATAAAAGTGAACTTTTGTTAAGTTGAATATAATGTCACAATCTGCAAATCATAGTGCATTGGGAAAACAAAAGTTCATATTATGGGAATTTATAAAACCAACACCTCATATCTCATATTTAGTTAAATGTAGAAAAGCTAGCTAAAGACCTTTAGAAGTTGAACCTTGAAGCATATAAAGTACTACACAAATGTTAAAAATAAAAATGTAGAAACTTTTCGTACTAACCTTAATTAGTGCTTTAGATTCCATCATCACTTTTTTAATGAGAGCAATGGATTAACAAGCAAATAGGTATAGGCTTCACTCAAATTTCCACGTCCAAAGTGGGCATTTGCTAAACCAATGAAGAAAACCTACAAAATGGAGGAAAAATTACTGGAAAGACCAAGATTCTGTTGGGTCTTCCCTCCACATGGGAAGCCCATTTGATTGGCTAATGGGCATTTTCTTTCATAGGCCGAAGACCAATTTCACTTAATATAGCAAGAGAGGGAAATCATTTTGAACATAACATACACACATACAGAACACGAGACAGAGAGAACGTGAGAGAGAGAAAGACTGATTTCAGCCCCTTTCTTGCCAAAGATCGAAGCCTCATTTGTGGTCCGATTAAAGTCTTACTTTAGTATGTTGTTCCTAGCGGAGAGGGCTATGTTTTGATCGAAGCTGATCATCCAGATTCCTCTCTATTCCTCTGGGCTTTGTACACTTGTTTAGTGAGATTTTACAAAGGTTTAGGTGGTGTTCTCTTTAGCCGTTTTGGGTCCTTTTTTGTTTTCAGTTTTCCAAAACAATGAAAACGCGTTCTTTTTCTTATTTTTGAAAACGCGTTTTTGAAAACAATAAAAATTTGTACACAAAACACAAAACAATAAAAACAATGTTTTGACTGTTTTCAAGCAAAAACGGGGGAAAAAAACGAAAACATGGGAAATAACCATTTTTAACAGCTCCACAACTCCACTGCCCCATTTTCAATTTCTTCCCTCTTCTTCCAACCCATCCCCTTTTTTCCTTCCCTCTGGACGAAGGAAATGAGCCTGTACCGGAGCTGGCGTGGAGAGGCGACCCATTCTTCGCAGGCGTGAACACAGCGTCGCGACCCATTATTCGCGACACTGCTGTGGTTTGGCCCGTCTCTGCGTACTTTCTTGGCAAGGTGAAGTTCTCGGCAACCCATTGGCGTCGTTCTCGACAAGGTGAAGTTCTCTCTCTTTTCGATCTGCAAGTTTGGGGGTTTTTGGTTTTTTCGATTTTGGTTGTTTTGATTGGTTTCGACCCATTGATTTCAGTTGTGTTGATTGAAAATTCCAGTGGTGGTTGTGTTGGCAGTTGTGACTGGTGGTGGTGATGGTAGGCAGTGGTGGTGGTGGTGACTGGTGGTGGTGATTGGTTGATTGCAGTGGTGGTGAGTTTGGGATTGGGTGTTTTTGTTGTTCCATTCGTTAGTTGCTTTACGTTACAAAGTCACAGACATTAATTAATATGCTAAATTATGGTTAATCTACCTTCTGTTGAAACTTGAAAGCAATCAAGGTTCATACTGTTTCTGCCTTAATTAATTGATTTTCTATGCCAACCATGTGAGCTTTGATAATCTATTATGAAATTTTTTGCATAAATTGTTAGAAGTTCTGAGTGAGATTATTAATGTGTTATGAATTGCAAGACATTCTTCCTCAAATTTTTCATCAGTTGGGTACGCAACAATTCCTGTTTCTTGTGGTATTTTCCCGTTTGATTGCTGCTATTAGAACTTGATTAAATGAATGGTTTAACCTAAAAAATTCAGGCCTTGATAACTTGGAGATCTGAAGAAATTGGCAGAACAGCTCCAGAAGCAAGCGCCTGGTGCTACTTTGGAACAGAAAGACGGTGAGGATGAGGTGCTTGACCTTGTTGATGGTGAGACCTTTGAAGCTGCTACAGAGGAGGGGCACACATCGTAGTAGTTTATTGATTTTTTGCCATCCTCATATTTTAACTGTTTTTGTTGTATGTTTGGTCTCGAATTAAGTGGTTTAATCCATGTTTAGCATGGCATAACCAGTGTTGTTTACAGCCCTTTGCTCTTTACATTATACTATTGAATATGCCAGCAAGAATTCTATTGGTGTATGAACTTGAGTGATTTTTATTTGTGATTAAACCTGCAGCAGAAACCACCCGGGGGGAGGGGGGACCGGTATACTTGTGATTTTATCACTCATCTTGTATCTCCCACTAATAATCTCAAAATCCTCGAACTTATATTTCCATAATTTCCCCTGCATTTATTGATTCCCATTAGACAACTTCATCTTGATCTTCGGATGTTTTCCTATATTTAAACAATTTACAGAAATTTTATCAACTCTTCTTGATCATTGCACTCTCCAGTAGTGAATTTGTTATTAGCAATATTGAGTCATTGACTAGCTCTTTTCTGTAGGTTGCAAAAGAATATTGTGAGCAGTTGGGGGTTGACTCTTGCTTCAAGATATTTGAGTAGTTTAAGTCGTATGAAGGACTATATCTCTTCTTGGGATCATATTTGAGCTCCAGGTAATTTCTGAAGAAAGCACGAGACTTCGCACTGCAGGGTCTGAGTGCTGAGCCATTATACATATTATACTGGTTAGCTTGTGTACTAATATTTTCTTTACTGCAGCGAGGATCCTGACATTCACTTCAAGTACATTGAGGCAGCTTCCAAGACCGGACAAATTATGTCATCGACAATTATGTTCTTTCTACTGAGCACTTGAAGCTGTTTGTTTCAGTTTGATAAATCTTTCTTCACGAGCTTCTTAAGTCTTTAATTCGTGTTTCAATTTTATGTTCTTTGCAAAGGATTAGCTGCAGTATAAACATTCAGAAATGTCATTTGGAATTACAGATGTACCTAGTGTAGTTGTTAAAATAGATTTTTGATATAACAAATATTATATCTTCATGTATATGATATCATTTTAATTATTTTTTTAGGTAATCAAATTGTATTTATTATCACTTATGATAGTCATCGTGTTTAGACTATAAAAATTGTATTTGGCAAGAATTATGAGAACTAACATGAACTCGATAAAATTGTCACAAGTTACGTACAAGGACAAAAATAAGGATTTGCCAAATTTAATTTAGGTTATATTTTTTATATTTAGAAAAAAATTATTTCAAGATTCATCAACTTCAAAATTTATATGTTATTTAATACTATATTAACAATAAACTATTTAAACTTATTGAATAAATTTCAAAACAAACACTCAAAACTCAAAATACAAAATGAATTCAAAACTCAAAACACAAAACTTAAATACAAAGAGAACGACCCCTTAGTTTTTCTAAATTCACTGCATAAATAATTCAATTAGAGTAGTAAACCCAAAAAATGAGACAAAAGATTCCAGCATACTCTTACTAACAAAATTCAATTCAATTTCACAATCTATAAGTCATTCGGCATAAAAGTTAACTTTTCTTAAGTTGAATATAATGTCACAATCTGCAATCATAGTGCATTGGGAAAACAAAAGTTCATATTATGGGAATTTATAAAACCAACACCTCATATCTCATATTTAGTTAAATGTAGAAAAGCTAGCTAAAGACCTTTAGAAGTTGAACCTTGAAGCATATAAAGCACTACACAAATGTTAAAAATAAAAATGCAGAAACTTTTCGTACTGACCTTAATTAGTGCTTCAGATTCCATCATCACTTTTTAATAAGAGCAATGGATTAACAAGCAAATAGATATAGGCTTCACTCAAATTTCCACGTCCAAAGTGGGCATTTGCCAAACCAATGAAGAAAACCTACAAAATGGAGGAAAAATTACTGGAAAGACCAAGATTCTGTTGGGTCTTCCCTCCACATGGGGAGTCCATTTGATTGGTTAATGGGCATTTTCTTTCATAGGCCGAAGACCAATTTAACTTAATATAGCAAGAGAGGGAAATCATTTTGAACATAACATATACACATACAGAACACGAGACAGAGAGAACGTGAGAGAGAGAAAGGCTGATTTCAGCCCCCTTCTTGCCAAAGATCGAAGCCTCATTTGTGGTCCAATTAAAGTCTTATTTTAGTATGTTGTTTCGGCGAAGAGGGCTATGTTTTGATCGAAACTGATCATCCAGATTCTTCTCTATTCCTCTGGGCTTTGCACACTTGTTTAGTGAGATTTTTCTCCTTTTTGTTGTGTGTATCTATTTAGTATGTTGTTGTTGTTGATATCCAAGGACTAGATGTGTTCTTGATGTAGCGTTAGCCTTTGGAGTTGGCTCTAGAGAAGAAATTATGTATCCCATTATTTTTATAGTGGATGGCTCTTTTACTAGACTAGGTCCCAGGGTTTTTCCCTTCGCAGGGTTTTCCTCGTTAACAAATCTTGGTGTTCAATTCAATTTCCTGCTAGTATGTGTGAGTTTGTTGGATTTGCCTATTATAGTTGCCATTTTAATTCTTGTGCATTGAAGGGTTGAATTAATTGTTTCTGCTGCTTCTTTGTTATATTGGTTCAATCCCCAATAAAGTGGTATCAGAGCTATTTGGTTGAGTCTCTGTGTTTGTGGTGAGAATTAAAATGGAGGATTCGGCTAGTGGCATGGTCACATCTTCCAATTATTCCATTTGGAAAACGAGAATGGAGGATATCTTGTATTGCAAGGACTTGTTTGAACCCATTAAATTAAATGGCAAGAAACCCCATTCTAAAACTGATGAGGATTGGAAGAAGTTGAACAGAAAGGCTGTTGGACATATTAGGCAGTGGGTTGATCAGAGTGTCTTCCATTATATAGCCAAAGAAGTAGATGCTTATAGTCTTTGGCAGAAATTGGAAAATCTTTATGAAAGAAAGACTGCACAGAACAAGGCCTTTGTCATCAGAAGGCTTGTAAATTTGAAGTACAGGGATGGTAATAGTGTTGCAGAGCACTTGAGCAGTTTTCAAGAGCTATTGAATGAGTTGTCTACCATGAAGCTTACACTAGATGATGAGGTGAAGGCTTTACTTC